ATATATATAATATATATATATATATATATATATATACTATCTCCGTTTTATCTACTATCTTCCTTACTGTCTCCTTGACTGTCTGTCTCTTGACTGTCTCCTCTATATCTACTGTTGTCTCCTGTATATGTACTGTTGTCTCCTTTATATCTCCTGTCTCCTTTTTAGCTGTCTCCTCTTCTAACTGTCTCCTCTCCCAACTGTCTCCTCTCCCAACTGTCTCCTTTTTAACTGTCTCCTTTTCCAACTGTCTCCTTTTCCAACTGTCTCCCTTTTAACTGTCTCCTTTTTAGCTGTCTCCTTTTTAGCTGTCTCCTTGTCCAACTGTCTCCTTTTTAACTGTCTCCTTTTTTAACTGTCTCCTTTTTAACTGTCTCCTTTTTTAACTGTCTCCTTTTTAACTGTCTCCTTTTGTGGCTCTCTTCTCTCCTTTGCCTCGCCAGACTAATACCCGTTATTGTTGCTCCCTCCTGCAGCATCTATTGCTGCTGCTGCATCTGCTGCTGTTGCTGCTGGTGTTGCTGTTGCTGCTGTTGCTGCTGCAGATATTGGACTACCTGGATTCAACAGCAGCAGCAGCAGGAGGAGGACGTATGTTATTTAATTGGGGAAGAGGAGGAACACAATTAAGAGAAGGAGACAGTCTTTTATTAGATTATATATGTCTCCGTTTAGCATTTCCTTATGTGTCTCCTAATAAGGAGAGACTATTAACAGGACAGCAGCAGGAGCTGCTGCTGCTGCTCCCTGAGCTCTCCTGCTTCCGTGACCTTTGCTGCTATACTAAGTTATTAATTAATGATTGTCTCCCTGATAAATCACCAACTATTAAGAGATGGTCTTCCTCTGACGCTATACTACACTGGAGGTATTTATTTATTTATTTATTTATTTTATTTATTTATTTATCTATTTATTTATTTATTTATTTATTTTTATGGTCTTCCTCTGACGCTATACTACATTGGAGGTATTTATTTATTTATTTATTTATTTATTTATTTATTATTTTTTATTTATTTATGTATTTATTTTTATGTACTTTCTCTGACGCTATACTACATTGGAGGTATTTATTTACTTATTTATTTATTTATTTATTTATTTTTTATTTTTTTTTTTTTATGTACTGTCTCCTTTTGGGTGTCTCCTTGGTGTCTCCAACTGTCTCCTTTCTGTTTCCCGCGGTCTCCCTCTAGCCGTCTCCAACTGTCTCCTTATGGCTCTCCTACTGTCCTACTGCTTCTTCCTGTCTCCTTGCATCCCCCGCACTCTCTCTGTCTCCTTCTGTCTCCTTTTGTCTCCTTCTGTCTACTGCTAGAACAACCAGTGTTGCCCTGTCACCTCTGCATGCATGCACGCATGCATGCATGCAGCAGCAGCAGTAGATGAATAGTTGTTGTATTGTGTAAGTTTGTTTGCTGCAGCGTGGATGAGGAGAAGAATGGTGTATGGCATGTAAGTGTCTCCTCTTTTGGTGGTATACAGTTGGATCTGTCTCCTCCAAGCAGCAGCAGCAGCAGCAGCAGCAGCAAGGAGACAAAAAAGAGACACCGTAATGCCTTACAACGTTTCTTTGCTGGTTGGTTCTCGGGGACAGAGAGCAGACGTGGCCGTTTCTCCTTAGCAGATCCAAGTAATTTGCTGCAGGGTTTGCTGCCAGCAGGAGCAGCAGGAGCAGCAGGAGGAGGAGTAGCAGCAGCAGGAATATCAACATCAACATCGTCTTCCTCCTCCTCCTCCTCAGCAGCAGCAGCAGCAACAGCAGCAGCAGCAGCAGCAGCAGCAGCAGGGACTAATGATGTATCCATGACAGAGGATGACGTGCTGCACCTTAAGTGTCTCCCTTCCTTTGGGGGACGATTAGCTGCTGCTGATGCTGAGTTGCTGCTGCAGTACCTAACTGCTCCTTATTTACGTATCCCTTTGCTGCTGCAATTCTTTGGCGAGGGGACACGATTGGAGACACTTTGCTGCCCTTTGCTGCAGCAAGTACTTGCTGCTGCTCTCTTCGAGCCATGGAGATTCCAGCAGTCTCCTCTTGCTGCTGCTGCTGCTGCAGCAGCAGCAGCAGCAGCAGCTAGTAGTAATAGTGGTGGTGGTATTCCTGTTGCAGGATTATCATCATCAAGTGTATCGGAGACAGGTGCAGCAGCAGCAGCAGCAGCAGCAGCAGCAGCAAAAGCAGCAGCAGTAGGATATAATTATAATAGTTGTAATATAGTCCCTCCTCCTTCTCGTGATTGTCTCTGTACACCAGGAGGATTATTATTTAATGAATTATTATTGTCTCCTTTTTATATACTAGATGCAATAGAGGGACTAATAGATCTATCTATAGAGAAGAATACAGGTAATTATAATTCTGCTGCTGCTGCTGCTCTCCTCTTTGTTATAAGAATTACTGCTTATGTACTTAGTTATATACGTTGTATACTAAGGCATAGAAAATATTGGCAACAGGGATGGGAACCGATCCCGATCCCGATCCCGTCTCCTCAGCAGCAACAGCAGCAGCAACAGCAGCAGCAACAGAAACAGCAGCAGCAACAGCAACAGCAACAGCAACAGCAGGAGATGCAGTCCCTACAAGGAATCAAGTATGGTGCTGAAAAGGAGACAGGAGGCAGTGGAGGGGACAGCAACAGCAACAACAGCAGCAACAGCAAGAATAGCAACAAGAAGAGCAGCAGCAGCAACAGAGTATCTGGTTGTGGATTTGCTGCTGCAGTAAGGGGACTGGAGTGCAGCAAGGAGACAGCAGAAATATTAGAGAAATATTTACATCGTTTATCTACTCGGGTGTCTAGGGAGATAAAACATTTGCTGCTGCGGTGGGTGCAGCAAGCCCTAGATTGCTGCGAGCTTGCTGCTGCATGCCGCATGCATGTACATTTGCTGCTGCTAAGAAGAGACACTTTATGGGAAGAATTAGATCTAGAGACAGTTACGGAGACTGTCTCCTCTTTATTCTTCTTATTTGCTCATCATCCTTTTGCTGCTGATTTACCTGGTGGGCCTCTCTCGCTGCAGCTGCTGCAGCTGCAGCAGCAGCAGCAGCAGCAGCAAGGGGGGGTAGGACGTCTAGGCAGCAGCAGCGGCAGCGGCAGCAACCTTATGGCATCTGCGTCACGTAGCGGTCTTGGTGGTGATGGTGTTGGTGGTGGTGCTGCTGCAACAACAGCAGCAGGAGGATCAGGAGACACTGCAGCAGCAGCAGCAGCAGCAGAACCATTAGGTGTCTCCGATGCAGAAATATTTCAGCTGCTGCAGCAGCAGCGGCTGCTGCTAATTAGTTGGCTAAATAAACATCCAGAGGCAACAGGGACAGTATTGGAGACAGTTATACAGCGGGTAACTTTTTCTGGTACAACTATGAGTACAGTTCGTGCTGCTGCTGCTGCTGCAGCAGCAGCAGCAGCAGCAGCTGAACAAGGTCAAGTAGTATCTGATGCTGCTGCTGATGCTGCTGCACTTCCTCCTGCTGCTGCTGCACAACTTATAGGAGGAGACGCTGAACTTGCAGACCCAGATAAGTTTATTGCTACAGGAACACCACAAGCAGCAGCAGCAGCAGCAGCTGCTGCTGCTGCTGCAGCAACAGGAAGTGATGCCCAAGGTGTAGCAGCAGGAACAAGACAATGGAGGGCTGTTACTGGCCTTGGTGTCTCCGGCAGATATATTCCTGCTGCTGCTGCTGCAGCAGCAGCAGCTGAAGATGAAGAGGATGGAGAGACAGGAGACAACAGCAACTCTGCTGCTGCTGCAGCTGCTGCTACGAAGGACTTAGCAGCACAACAGCAACAGCAGCAGCAGCAGAAGCAGGAAGGAGTAGGCCTGTTGCGCGGTGCTGTAGTAGCTATGCATGCAGCAGTTAAGCGCAGTACATTAAGATTATTAGGTGGCTATACACCCCAACCTGCTGCTGCAGCAGGAGCAGCAGCAGCATATGCTAATTATCTTAAATCATGTCTTGAGGTCAAATCAGAAGTACAGATAAATCTACAGGTAATCTCCTCCTCCTCCTGTTGCTGTTGCTGCTGTTCCTGCTGCTGCTGCTGCTGCTGCTGTTGCTGTTTCTTCTGCTGTTCCTTTTGCTGCTGCTGTTGTTGCTGCTGTTGTATTACAATTCCTTTCCTCCTTGTCTATTAGTTAGCTTCTCCTCCTCCATCATTATTATAACAAATTACTACTACTACTACTACTACTGTTGCTGCTGCTGTTGCTGCTGCTGCTGCTGCTGCTGTTGCTGCTGTTGCTATTTGTATGTTGTATACAGACAGCTGAATTGTCTCTTCGTCAGAATAAGATGGAATTATTAGGAGACTGGGCAAATAATTTTATAGATTTTATTTGTTTATTTGGTCTTATTCATCGATTATCTCCTATACAAACTGCACTTGTTGAACAAACTCATGAACGTCTATGGATCAGACTATTAGGTCTACATCATGATCTAGTATGTCTCTCTCTCTCTCTCTCTCTCTCTCTCTCTCTCTCTATATATATATATATATAGTTGGGT